TAAGCATTTTTATTACAGACAATGAAATGGCACCCACATACAGACACAAATAAAAGAGTTCTATGTCTGAGAGTTCATTGGAAACGCTAGTTTAATTCATGAAACCATTTGATATGTCTGCCTTCTATTTACAAGACAGACACTTTTTAGTTAAGCTTGTTGCTCATAATGCTCGTTAGTGCTTTTGTAACATGCTGGAAACATTCCTCTGAGATTTTGTCTGACTGTGGCAGCATTTATTATAATTACATGTAGATTTTCAATGTAATTTTGTTAGATATGTGTAACGTAAAATGCTAAATTTACTGGTTAGATGAAATGTAACTGGTATACATTCAGTTTTTGTTACGGCCATTTTCTTTCATGATTATTTGAATAGATAGAAATTGGATTTTATATATTTCAGTTGTATTTTGTTAAAAATGATTGTGTCATGTTTGAAGGTGAAAAGTAATTTCTTTTTGAATGTAGCCTTGGTTTGTTGTTCTAAGCTGCTATGAGTGCCAACTGCAGGTGGCTCCTGGAGTGGTCTTTTACTGCTGTAGCACTGCACCCCTCATCATCAGACCCCTATGATAATGGTGTGTGCTCAGCGATGCTATTCTGGAGAACCTGGTTGTAAACAGTGGTTATCTGAGTCACTGTTGCCTTCCTATCAGCTCACAGCAGCTTGTTCATTCTCTTCTGACATCAACAAAGTATTTTTACCCAGAGAACTGCTGCTTAATAGATACTTTCTCTTTTTCAGACCATTTTCTGTAAACACTAGAGATGGTTGTGCAGAAAATAATCCCAGTAGATCAGCAGTTTCTGAAATACTTAGACCCTACATCAGCAGCCATGGCATGTTCAAACTCAGATCACCTTTCTTTGTTGGTCTGAGGCAAAGTACATGCTTTTCTACATGCTTAAATGCATTGGAATACCTGGCATGTGATTGGCTAATAATACATAAATTAACTACTACAGAGTAAACGGGTGTACTTAATAGAGTTGCCAGTAAGTGTGAACATAAACTATAAACATAAGAATGTTTATATAACTATCAGTAAGTACATTAGCTGAAGTGAAAACTCTTAGTGTCTTGGGTCTATATTGAACCGAGCCTTTCTTCTTCACATAATTAAGCCACTAAATAGTAGCCCTTGGTCAGGAAATGGCTGCGTGGAAGGCTGATTAAGACTCGAATGCAGGACCCAGAAGGTAGGAAGTGAACTCAAAGTCAGCTTTAATGCTAGAAACCTTCCAAAAACACAACCACTCGTGTAAGATAAAAATCAGGACCTTACAATCTAGAAACCAGGTTATATAGAGAAGTGTATTACCTTTCCAAAATACTTGCATGCAGATGCAGATTGACATTGCAACCTTAGCTCTTGTTGTTCCAGACACTCATCCAAACAGTCAGACACCAGTCATATTGGGAACAAACAGGCTTCGCGCAGATTTTCCTGTAAAACAAAGTGGGGCCTTGCAAAAAAAAGTCTGGGAACCACTACCTTAGTTGAACACCCCTCTCAGTCTTCCTTGCCTGGTGGCCTTTGTGTTAAAACTTGCTCAATAACACATCCTTCCCGAGCTCCACACAAAGTGCCTGTAATGATTACAAATGAAAAAGAACAAAGTGGTGAATCGTCGATTCCACAGGAGTGGAAAGAGAGGATAACCAAGCAACTCAGTGATATCCAGGAAGTATTCACTTTCAATATCTTGAGTTTGGCTGTACGAGCAAAGTGAAAGATTCCACCAAACTTAATGATCCAACTCCCTTCAAGCACAGTGCATGCCCTATACACCAATGTCAGTTCATCATAGTTACAGGTAGTAACCCACTCACATACATATTGACCTCTGATAAGTTAGACACCCCTGGCTTTAGGTGGCCTGCAACTTTGGCTACGTCCACAAGTACCCGGGTATTTTTGAAAACGCAGATTTTTCTATGCATTTGCAGCTTTCGTCCACACGTAAACGGCGTTTTCGCTCACTGAAAACGGAGATTTTTTAAAATTCCTGCCAGGGTGGATATTTTCGGAAACTCCGTTTTTGCATTTACGTGTGGACGAGGAAAACGGAGAAAACACAGCGTCAAAGGTGTGCACCTTTTTTGACGCTACACTGTGCGCCATGTTATTGTTTCGGTGAAATGAATTTCTACAATGGGGGACTTAGACAAAACATTGTTACTGTTAGTTGTACTCTCTACAGTCTTTAAATGCTTACATATACACACAAAGTTACTGTCCCTCCACACATAGGACTCAGTTCTGCTTCTATGCCCCATCTTTGTTTACTATTTCCCACCGAGGCTTCTAGACTTCTGATTGGCCAACATTTCTAGACATTTTTAAACACCTGGACCTCATCAAGGCCACTGGATCATTGCTAAACTCTCATCAGTAACAAGTTCAAGCCAAGGTTTCTCTTGCCTGCGTGCTAGATATTAACGTATGTGTCTTTGTACCTAGATTCCCTGACCCATCCCTGTGTTTCCTCGAGCAGTGTGTGGAAGGAGCGACTGATCACTAGTGGAGAGAGAGGTCAGAGTGGAGCGTGTGTGTGATTCCCCTTTCCCCCGGAGCCCTGCCCACCTTACGTCTTGTATACAGCACTATCCCCCCACAGCCTGTAAATACACTTGGTGAAGAAATTGTAAATAAACTTTCAATGTTAACTCGCAACTCAAGAGTCCTGCGTGTGGATCCTCAAGGGCAACCCATGACAGCAGAAGCCTGTAAGCCGTTTTATAGAGCATCACCTAGCCGACACTGACACCATAAGGCTTGTAGGTAGTGATGTTGTCCAAGCGATCTGTCGAAACCACCTTGTTAAAATCAGACATGATAGTCAGGATAGTGGTGTTACACTTCTAGACCCTCTCAGCTGACATGATGCCAGACATCTATGTTTTAGAAGAACA